GGTACGTTGAGATGAGAATAGTTAGGGTGAGTAAGGTACGTTGAGATTAAGGTTTCGCTTTATAAGAAGGACTTCCAGGTAGTCCCAAAAAGCCTGGCCAGAAACTGTCTTGGTGTTCGTGGCACACGATCGGGCCCCCAGACTCACTGACATATGACATCGGATGGATGCATGTGGATAATGTGGGTCCTGCGCGTGCATGAGCATTACGCTCGCCACGGCTCCACCAGGATGGTTCCTGGCAGAGATGGAACCGGTACCGGTTACCGGCCGGTCCGGTACCGGTCTGGGTTTTGGATCGACCGGTCCATACCGGTCTTGTGGGAAACCGCTGATTTTTTTGATTTAAATCAGAAAAAAAATCGAAAAAATCAGAAAAATCAAAAAAATCAACAAAAATCAAAAAATCTTTAATCTCTGTTGTTCAAAACATCAATTAAGGGTGGAGCAGCTGATATTAGATTTTATTGATTTCAGTGATATTTTTGATTTTGTTGATTTTTTGTTTGATTTTTCTGAATTTTTGATTTTTTTGATTTTTCTGATTTTTCTGATTTCTGTTTTGATTTTTTTGTTTTCTTTTCGCATTTTGTTGATTTAAAATCAATTGATTTAAATCAAAAAAATCAAAAATTCAGAAAAATCAACAAAATCAAAAATATCACTGAAATCAATAAAATCTAATATCAGCTGCTCCACCCTTGATTGATGTTTTGAACAACAGAGATTAAAGATTTTTTGATTTTTGTTGATTTTTTTGATTTTTCTGATTTTTCTGATTTTTTTTCTGATTTAAATCAAAAAAATCAGCGGTTTCCCCCTAGACCGGTAGACCGGTATGGACCGGTCAAACCGGTATACCGGCCGATCCGGTCCGGTCTACCTTTCTCCAGATCCGCACCGGTACCGGTCTGAAAAAAAGTGGACCGGTTCCATCTCTGGTTCCTGGTCGCGCGCGCGTGCGAATAGAATAGCTATGAAATCATTTTTTCATTCAATCACGATTTATTTGAAAGAGAAAGAGAACAAAAAAAAATAAAATTCATCATCGTATTGAATTTCATTCGATATTAAATTTTTGTACTCGATGATTTCCCCAATCGACGACATAGAGATTGCCATGTCGATCGAATGATAAATCTGTGGGACCATTGAGTTGATTTGACCGTGCTCCTGAACCGTTTGCACCAACAATGACACTTCCTTGAGTGGCTCCTTTTGGCCAACGCATGATTCGATGATTCCGTCGGTCAACCACATAGACAGTACCCAATTGATCGACAAAAACTCCTTCAGGTTCATTCAATTGTGTAAGACTATTCCCTTTTCCTTGACCACCGGCTACAACAATGCCTTGTTTTGCACCTTCTTCCCATTTCATTACATGATAATTCCAATAATCAGACACATAGACTGAATGATCTCGATCGACAAATACGTAGGTGGGATCTGAGAGTTGATCGAGACGATTTCCTTCTCCCTTGCCGCCTGCAACTACTGTTCCTTTAGTGTCACCAATTTTATATCGTTTCACTTCATGTTCTTCATCGCCAACGACATAAAGAAAACCATTGTCGTCCATTGTCAAACCCCAGCAAGAGATATTTGAAATAATTGTTTCCCCATGAGTACCATTTCGACGAGGCCATCGAACTACTCTTTTATTCCTAACATCGGTGATGATGAGACTATCGCTCTCTTTGTCGATAATCACATAATGTGGGCAGTTTAACTGATGAGCTCCATTTCCATTTCCATTTCCACCAGCAACTACTTTTCCATTTGTTGCACCAGATTTCCATTCCACAATGCGGTGATTCCAACAATCAGCGACATAAATCGTTTGATCGTCGTCGACGTACAAACCAAAGGGGAAAGAGAGGTGATTAGTTTCACTGCCTGGTTCATTTCCTCCAACAACAGTGATACCATTCTGTGACCATTTTGCATTCGGATGAATATCAATGGAATTTGCACGCATTGGTACTGAAATGAAACAAAAGTATGAAGTAGAAATAAACATCGATTTCATTGAAATGAGTCCTTCTCATTTGTTTTAAACAGTATTGAACTGCTCTCAATTACAAAAGCTTTTTACTTATGAACTTGATTAGAATCTGGTTTTTCTCAATGTTAAAAACAAAACATTGTTGATTTTTTTCAAACATTTTGTGTAAGAATCCTAACTTTGACTAAAACTAACTAAAATTTAACTGGTAAGGTGAAAAATTGTGATTAACACGAATTTTTATCGTGAATGAAATTTTCTTTTATATCGAATTTTTCCAACATATTTACTGATTTTGTTAGTTCGATTTTGAAATATATTTAGATTTTGCATGTCATCAATTTAATAATCATTTCAATTTTTATTGTTTGGATTTTACAATAAAATGAGTTGTAACAGAATTTGAACGTAAGGAAAAACAATTTTGTTATCAGTTGATAGGAAACGGTGTATGATTTATGTTCGTCACACATTTCTGAGTGAAATGAGACAAAATAAATTTGCAACTTTTATATGAATTCGTTAAAAACATCTTGCTAGATAATAACGATAGTTAATTATACTTAACTACTATGCATAAGACGTTTTTGACTGATTCATACAAAAAAAATTACAAATTTTTTGTGTAAGTATTTTTCTTTCTTATTCCATTTACGAATGTGACAAATATAAATCATACACCATTCGAAAGTATTTTATGCCATGAATTTTGCATCATACTTATTATTGAGTAATTTATCCCTGAATGTCAAACAAACAAGTAGTTTGTAGAAAGGCTAATCGAAGTGGTAAATAAGATAAGTTTAGATAAAATAATACGTAAGTTCGAATTTTAGTAGATAAGAAGAACTCAAAAACAAATCTTTCCCAACTTCAAGACTATTTGAAGAATCTGTCATGTTCATTATTCTGCATTGTAGCACAAACAATAATCTATATACGAATCAATCAAATCTTTTATTTTGAATTCATTTCCAATGTATTACAAATTTTCAACTTAATAGGGTGTCGGCGTATGGAACATGGTTTTTTTAAACAATAGCGGTTTCGCCTCATGGATCGATTTCGAACTTTCTAAATTTAAGTATTTTCGCTTCTTTACAAGACAATACGAATCTCCTATGAAAATCTTGATCTAAAATGTTTGCAATCTTATGTTTTGTAGGTTATTCAATAGGTATAAATTTTTGAAGATTCTCACAAAAAGCAACGATCGTAAAAGATTCCATCATGATTTTAGCTATTCTCAATAGCAATAAGTGTGAAGATTTCTTCTCTTCAAATTTTTATTGTATCGCATTCTGCACTGGTTAAGTCTTAGAAGAAAGTTTTTTTGTTTGTCTAGAATTTTCTAAAGGTTGATATTGATATTGATTTGAGCTTTAAACTAGAAACAATACTTCTATGATTATATCTTGAATGGACAGTTACAGAATCGATGAAGTTAATAAAAAAAGTTATGCAATTTTATAAACTACCTAAAAATAATTTAAATAATTTCATCCTTCTTAATTTATCTATGAAGAATCTAGCTATAATTGAGATCTTGATTAAATTTAATACTATTTAATCAATTTTCATTTTTATTACATGTAATGTCATGTATTTTTAATATGTTTAATGTTTCAGTGCAATTGGAAGAAAGTACATTTTAGTATTATTTCTTTTCTTCCATCGACAAAAAACAAATACATATAAAACGGTATGAGACCTTTAATTATGTGTCAAACAACTCGAAGATGAGAGTCAGAAACAAAACAATACTTTCTGCTTTTTAAATCAAAGAGATTGGGAGACATAAAATTCGAGTAGATAATTTTATTTTCTACTTATAGATGATGGCATAGAGCTATATGAAATGCTTATTAATACTATAGATTTATTTCAAGTAAATCAAATTTCTCAAATATCTCTTATACACATGGAAATAATCAGTCTGACCGGCTACCTTGCTTCGGTTTTTT